CTTGGCTTTGCTGTTCACATTCTATGTTAATTGGGGTGGGGGGGGGGGGGGGAAGGAGGATAAATCCCCCTTTAAAAATTGGAGGTACATCTCCAATCCTACGATCCCAACCCTGGAAAAATTGGCGTCCAACCAGCGAGATGGGGAACCTTAACTAAACCATTTATACTTTCATGGATATATTGAAAAGGGGGGGGGGCAACATGTTATTTCATCCTCCTATAAGGAGTAAAAACTACCAAGGGGGAGGGGATTACACTCTTTGCTTCAATTATCCCCCCTCAGCTCCCTATGTATCATAAGAGTGCAGGAATACATCAATAAAGCTTTGATTACACTTCACATATGAAGATAAATGGTTCTGATGAATCTGAGTTGACCTGCAGCGAGGGTCTGCACGACAGAAGAAGAAGCAGTGCTAGAAAGCTTAGTATTGTTGATGCGGGGAAGGAACTAATAAGAAAAGGAAGTAAGAAAAAACGATTTAAAAAATAAGAAATAATCTTAAACTTTTAAAAAAAAACATCAGTTCAGGGGTCAGTGCAATATATCACATTGCAGGAATTGAGCATTTCTTTCTATTGCACTTGACTGCAAACCAAGCAAAATTTGAGCAGTATTTTTCCAAATACTCATTTTGAACTAAATCTCAAAACAAGCGCCTAGCGCTTATAAAATGTATAGAATTAGGGCTACAAAAAATCATTTGAGTTGGTGAGGTAATTAAGCAAAGGCCAAGGGGTTGCGACGCTTTAAAGTCGAATCTATCTCAACATTTGATGACTTACTTTCTGCATTGTCTAAATATTAGTAATTTGTAGCTATTTGCATCTCTAGAATTAGAGGTTTTTGGTGTACTTTAACAACAGCCTATTTAGTCGTGGTGAATTTTGCGGGTTTTTTAAACATTTTCTGTTGGACATACGATTGGACATATGATTCAACAAATTAAAATATTAATACACCCTCAATATATGATAGACATAACAAATATCCTACCAATTTATAAGAATAAAATAATACATATAATAATAAAATATGAAACTGTGGTTTAATTGAGGGGATACAAGATTAAATCACTTGATTTTCCCCTTATAAATATATTCCCTATGTAATATTATCACTAAGATAAAATTCTGTAACTAATACTAATTGTATTCTGTATCTAGCACTTTGTATTCTGTTATTAGCACTATGTAATCTGTCCATTCTGTATCAAGCACTTTGTATTCTGTATCTTTCACTATGTATTCTGTCCATTCTGTCTCTATAGTACTAGTTATTCTGTATCTAGCACTATGTAATATGTCCAATCTGTCTCTATAGTACTAGGTATTCTGTATCTAGCACTATGTAATCTGTCCATTCTGTCTCTATAGTACTAGTTTTTCTGTATCTAGCACTATGTATTCTGTCCAATCTGTCTCTATAGTACTAGGTATTCTGTATCTAGCACTATGTATTCTGTCCAATCTGTCTCTATAGTACTAGGTATTCTGTATCTAGCACTATGTATTCTGTCCAATCTGTCTCTATAGTACTAGGTATTCTGTATCTAGCACTATGTATTCTGTCCAATCTGTCTCTATAGTACTAGGTATTCTGTATCTAGTACTAGTTATTCTGTATCTAGTACTAGGTATTCTGTATCTAGTACTAGTTATTAAGTATCTAGTACTAGGTATTCTGTATCTAGTACTATGTATTCTGTATCTAGTACTATGTATACTGTATCTAGTACTTTGTATTCTTTATCTATTACTAGGTGTTCTGAGTCTGTATCATGACAGAAAAAAAACTTTGTTTTACTAAGAAAAAGTAATATAAACTTTCTTATGAAAGAAAAGATCATAAATATTTGATCCAGGAATAAAACAGGACAGATAGGACGGATATGACAGGATAGGTCGAATATAACTGGATAGGACTGAAAGGGCAGGAACGGAGGAATAAGGCAGGATATGACTGATCAGATGGGATATGACTGATAAGGCAGGATTGGAATGATAAGGCAAGATAGGACTGATTAAGTACGAAAGGCCTGATGAAACAGGATAGGTCTGATAGAAGAGGATAGAATGTATAGGACAAGCCAGAACAGAGAGGATAGGAAAGGATATTGTAGGAGAGGATGGACTGGATAGGACAGGACGGATAGGATTTTAAATTAATATTTCGCTTACAACTTGTTTTCACGGCTGGCACTTGATTTTTAACATTCCTGCAAAGTTTGAAAATGTCGTCTTTATTATCAAAAATCCTCGAAACAGGAATTAATGTTTTCAAAAGTAACTCTCAAATCCAGTAACTGGCTGTGGACAAGTGTGCTTAACTTCAGTGATCTAACGAGAACTGGTGTCACACACTCTCCACCCCACCCCACATCAACATAAAATATCAACTTTATACGAATGCGTCGAAAAAATTGATGATTATATAGGTTGTAATATCTAAATAATTTTTTTGGGATTAAATTGATTTTTTTAACGATCCAAGTTGAATCTAACTTTCTGAATTTGGATGGACGCTACGTTATTCTTTATGAGTTGTTTTTTAACAATTTTCTCCTTATAGACGCATCAGATAATAAGTATAGTAAGATTAGTAGCAATCACTATCGAATATTTTAAGACGTAAGCCTATACCCCATTTCTATTTTTTGCTAAAACTGCCTTTAAGAGCAACACTATTCTCCGTTCGTCATTTCCCAATCCGTAGAGGCACAAATCTTGGACATTATCTTGCTCATCTTTGTTGCAGAAATACACAAGTTCTTTTTGAAATGTTGTAGCTAGGTGCATCCGATCCATTTTTAGATAGTTTTAACGGATTACTTAGTGATTTGCTGTTTTTTAATGAAGGGTTTTAAACTACTGAAACGGTCCCTTTAACATTGAGCAGGAAAGGACCCTTGAATAACTTTTAATTGGTTTATCTTTATTGCTTGGTTTACCTGTTATAATACAATTCTCCGCCAGCTGCCTGATTGCAATATTAAGCCCTAAAAACTAATATAATTGTTTCAGTTAGTCTTAGTCATTCATTACAACTTTCCTTTATTAAAAACTCTTCTTCAGTGATTTGTAACTACAGAGCGTCCCATGATCCCCAAGCTTAAAAACAAAAAGACTCACATAATACATGAACAACCTTGTATTTTCTGCAAAAAAAATACATCTTTATAAATGATTCATTCTTTCTAAATTTTCTTATTAGTCCCTTAAATCTCAATTTAGAGCTATTAACGATCTAATATTATGTGGATCATAAAACAAAATGATATTTAACTTAAAAAATGGGGATTTATTTGGAATTTCCTTGAACTACATTACAGACAAAACCAATAGAAAGTGGAAATATTGTATTCTTTGTTTTCTACTTAGTATTGAATATTATGGTCAAATATAGTTCTTCTCGTCGGCGTAGCTTGGAGTCAGCTGTTCTCAAGAAAAAACCCAATCGCCTGGTTAATCAGTTAATTTTAGCTTCTCAAGCAGAAATTGATTTTAACACAATTCTCATAATACATAGTCTTTCAAAGTCACTTTTATGAAATATTTTTATCTGTCAAGTATCATGGCTAAACAATTTTTACTTGATCATCATTATTTGTCTGCTAGAAAGGATGAATTTGATCACAATAAACCCTGTGCAGCGACGGAGTTCTCTGAAAATAAATGCGCCAAATCTGCCAGTTACTGTTACCGATGGTGATCATGGACGACGTTTATCCGGGACTCCTGTCAATGATAAGGAACTAGCAATAACTCCTGTCAACAAAACTCTGGCACTTAAAAAAAGCTTGTTTTGTTCAGCAGCTCGGAAAGTTTCCAATAGTAGTAAGTAAGCTTTTGGTTGAAACTTTAACCTTAGGGATGCCAATTTTTCCCGTCTCGATTTGGTTCTGTGATTATGGAACCAGTTCTGGAGATATTATAAATACAATAAACAACAAATACAGGAAGGAACCTGTCTAAGCTAAACTATAATTACATCTACTTCGTAAAAGCTATCTATAATAACTGGGTGTGACATGCAAAAAAATTACTTAACGATTATTCCTGATGAACTAGATCTAGAAAAACATTCCGTTTTTCATTAGGCCGCAACTACTTGTAACTTCTGAGTGGAGGGTTTTATTGATCGAGTAGAAAGATTTGGTAATTGGTTGACAACGTTTCCCCATTTAATTCCTAAAATTTTGTAAGAGCATTGTATTCGGAACAGCTTCAGAAGAGGTTTCGTAAATCCTTTACAGAACTAAATTGGTCCAGAAAGTAATGGATGTCCATGGTTAAATAAATGGATGACAATATTTTTTAAGATTATCCCAAATTGTACGGAAAAACAACTTGACCTAAAAAATCTACCTTAGATTATAAAAATAATTGCGGATATTTATTCTACCATATATTCCCCCCGGCCTGGTATAATAAGAAGGAATTATATTATGTTGGGGACAAATTGATATAATTATTATTCTGCCACAGGTTCCCATGTATACACATGATTTATTAATGTTGTCAGACAGATTTACTAGAAAAAGGGCGTTAATTGGGTTTCTTTGTACAATTTATTTCAGCTGAGGTACTCAGTCTTGGCTGGAAATTCAAACTTCCTTCTACTAACCTCTTCTTCTTACCCACCGGCCTTGGGGTCTTCCCTCCTCTCAAAATTCAGCTTAACTTCCTGTGACATCTCTTAACATCTACTGACCTCTTCCGACCTTCCAGATCTTATATTACCTTCCTTAAACTCAATTTACGCCTCATGGCTGTATATTGAAGAACACCTATAACCATTGATCAATTAATGAGGCAAATTAGTGTATAAGTTTGAGCGCTATGATTATCTGTCCTTCAATCAAAAAACTAGCAAACACGGAAAAAATCAAAGTTTTCAAACGAAAGAAAAATTTCTGAGCATCTGTGATTAATTGCAAAGATTTTTTTTACTCTAAGATAATAATTTAAAGAAACTAATGAAAACTTTGTTATAAGATCGAGTCCTGTATTCTGGTAAACCCGGAGCTGAAGGTGGACCTGTTTCTGTTGGGGGAGAGAGGATTGATATAGATACAGCTTGTGTAAGAATTTTGATATTTTGATATTAGAAGCCATGGTGTTGTGCATCTTTCATATTCCAAAATTTCAAATACGGCGCAAGATAAAGTAAACATTTCAAATAATTTGATAAAAAGAAACTTAAACAACAAACTTTAAAATCGGATTATATCGATTGATTTTAAAACCTACTTCTAATTAGGAATTGAAGGAGATATGCTGGGGTGGATCTAGCTATATACCTAAACCTAACTGGATAAAATCTAGTATAAGTTTCCATGAACCTGAAAACCTAAATGCATTTGGAATTCGAACAGATAAAGGAGCAACTAAGGAAACCATCTAATGAAGAAACAGTAGAATCATTGTTTCAGAGAATTTTTCTTCTATAATTAAAAGTTAAAAATTCCTAAGTTCCTTGGTCATGACTCCTAGATTTTAGTTCACAATTATCTGTTCAAGAAAAGGACTCCTAGAGTTTACAATATAACACAGAAGTTCGGAGACAAGAAAGAATTTTTATGATGACGCCTTCCAAGCTTATTTCAAAAAGAGCTTTGACTTTCAACACAAGAATTTCTACAGTGAAACCCTTAATAACAAATACATCGAAAGAATTCATCAAATGTCGTATTCTTCACTTTCTGATAATGGAATGATGCAGATATTTAGTTTTTTAATTAAATGATTATACGGAACTCTATAAAACTGTTCTCGCATATTCATGGCTATTTTTTTTTTGCAAATACTGAAATTTACGAAATATAGTATTAAACTCATTGAAAAATTGTCAAGACGACATTTGATAAATTCTTCCGATGTATTCGTTATTCGTTTCACTACAATCCTTTGAATCAGAGAAACACAAACCTTTTACAGCTTAGAAAAATTCAAGAAAGATTTATTAATTTTTATTTGCTTACATAACCTTCAGCTTTCAGCCATTGGTTACAGAATGAATTTCAAGACAACATTTTACAAATTTTTTTGTTGCCTTCAAACTTCTGGGTTATACTGCAATTCAGCCAGGGTTATCCCCAAAGGATGAGACTTTAAAAAGACGACCTAAAACCCGTAAAATACGACCGTTTAGACTTTACATAAAGTTTAAGGTGCTAAAGGTAATGATTTGGCAAAGAAGAAATACAGTTTGCAACGTAAGAAGAAAGGCTTGGTAAATTGTTTACAGTTGTCTCTGATTTTCATACTTTTTGGGTAGTAACCAGTATATGAATCAAGAATATAAAATTTTTTTCTACATCCTGCATAGGAATATTGAACAATGAATATGAACCTTCAATCAGTCGAGTCAGCATTCGTAGAAAACTGAAAACTGCAGATCAACTAAAAATAATGCACAAGCCAGAGAAAATTCACTGCTCTTTTTTTGATTTTGTTAAAAATTTTAATTTAAAAAATAAATTGTAAAAAAAGAATATAAAAAATAATTTTTAACTCAAGTCCATGTTTCGAAATTCAGAGATCCGGGTTAAAATTCTTCAATAAATCCTGGTTTTATAAATACAATGGAAATAGAAATATAAAAGAGTTGTAAATTGTTTTATACCAAAATACTGCAGTCTAAAAAGTGACGTCAATGTCAAAAAGTTCTTGAATAAAATAATATTGTGCATAGTTGAAAAATACTATTTCCTCAACTGTGAAACTGAAAATTCAGGAAATTACTTATACAAATGTACAATTTACTATTCAATTTGATGGTTTGTGTCCAGGAGTTCCAGATTGTTTTACAGGCTTATATTCTCAAACAATTAATGTTTGAAGGCAAAACGACCAAGAAAAACACAAGGTAAGCTATTAGGCATTTTACAAATAATTTAGTTTTATTATGCAGATTACAGCGTTATTAATCCCTAAAATTACTTCGTGGATTATAAATGATTAATCTTAAAAAATAGATTTGTCTCACTTTGTATGAGATTCATGAGACCAATCAGATTTGAGGATTCTAGAATTTGAGAAAGGATGAACGAATGTGTACTGTAGACGCTCGGCTATGGATTTTGACGGTGGTGGACCCAACAGAACGAGAAAACAACGCGGCAAAACGGTCACGTTGTGAGTTTTGATCTGTGCGCAATTGTTAACTAAGTAGGCATTTTTAAGAAGTAAGATCAACATATGTCTTGGTCATAACTTGGGTTTTTATTTTTTCAGATCAATTTTATTGACGACTTGTCCGTATTCGATCCTTTGTTTGATTTGAAAAATCTTTCAAATTAACGGATCAAAGCCATTTAACTTCAGTCTACTAGTCTTCCTATTCCGCTATAAAAAGTCAAGATAAAACAGACTAAGAATTTGTTTGCAAAATTTTAAAATAAATTGTTTTCAAATTTTTAATGCAGAATAGAATTTGTTGATAAGATCGTAAAACCCTTTTCCACACCTGTGTCAATAAATATCTTTAATGTTAAGATTATTTTTAATTTTCCTCTTTAAATCATTTATAGGATTAATATTCTCCTAAGTATTTCCTATCTATTAACAAAATTTACTTGAAAAAATGGTTTTTTAAAGCAGTTAAAGATATTTCTAGACTTTGATTAATTCAAGAAAAAATGGAAACCCCAAAAATTGTTTAATCCGACAAAACTTGAAAGATGCCTAATTAGTTAAACTTGCTAGGCATGCGGTTTGAATGGATGTTTATCTTGTTGTATTTGTACAAAGTACAGTTCACACTGTACATAAATGCAGTACCATAAAATTGTCTTTGTACAAACTGAATGTTTTTGTTCATGAGGCTGCTATGTGTGCTCAAATCTAAAAGGAATGTGATCGTTTTAAGAATGCAATGTTGTATAAACTAATGTACATTGTGCATAGAAATCTTTTGCTCGAATTTGATGTACATAATATTGCATGCCCCAAGGTTATTTCGTGATAGATATTCTTTGTTTCAGGAATAAGATTTAGCCGGACAAAATCAAATTTTTTTAAATATTGTAAGAATAAACTCAATTAAAGAACATTTTAGTAAGTAAAAGGAGTAAAATTAGATTTTGATTGTGATTACCAACATAAGTGGAATTGTTGTCGTCTTCGTTTTTATTTTTGATTACAACTGCCACTAAGGATTTGTAATTCTAATTTGTTATATCTGGATACATTTTCACTTTTCACTGAAAATATTTTTGTGTAAGTGACTTGCGCACTCCTTGCTTAAGAAACAAAAAAGAAATTATCAGAAATAAACACTTTTAAGCAAGAAAACCGACGTCATCTTATATATTATCAGACCAAAGTTTCAAGGGTACTGTTGTGAATCGGGAATGCCTCTATTATTTTTTTAACGGAGGGTCGCTTAAAATCTCATTGGGAACTGAAATGGCTCTTTTTAAAACATCTGTTAAATTTTCACATGTTCATCTCATCAAAAAAAATACTGAATATGTAAAATGAGTATTTTCAACAGATAAATTTCCTTTCTAGTGAAACTACAGCGGGCGGCCGGTTCAGAAAATACAAGGTATTTCAGAATTCATGCCGCAACTTTTAAGTATCAAGGAGATACAGGTTTGATTTGAAAAAACCAGTTGATTTTTGAATTTCAAATATGTAAATGCAAGATTCACTGTTGATTTTCGGGAGAAAAGAAATTTTAGATAATATTCCGTAAGATTCATTGTTGCGTAAAAATTCTGAACTACCCTGTCTAAGCTGGAGGATGAAGGTCCTAAAAAACCTGTCAAACCAACCAAGAAAAAAAAGGAGAAACAAGTGGTTGACGATGAGTAAGGGACAGGCTTTGTAGTTTGGTAACATCATAGCCTCAAGCCTCATAGCCTCGGAGTCTCGTAGCTTCGTAGCCTTGGAGCTACGTAGTTTCGAAGCTTTGTAGATTCATAGCCACATAGCTCGTAGCTTCGTAGCCTCGTGGACTCAAAGCTTTTTAGCCTCGTAGCTTGTATTTTCGTAGCTTCGTAGCTTCATAGCCTCGTAGCTTCTTAGCCTTGAAGCTTTCTTAGCCTTGTAACTTGGTAGTCAAGTAGCTTCATGGCCTCAAAGCTTCATAGCTTTGTAGCTTCGTAGCCTCGTAAATTCATAACCTAGTAGGCTTATCAAAAGTTTCAACCTCCGCTTTTTTAGTTAAGCAAATGATATATTTAGAATCGTAGATATAAATAGAATTAAGAAGAGGGGGATGGGGTTTGTATACATTCTACTGTGACGTAGGTCAATAATTAGTTTTATGGTAAACAAACGATATTTTGTCCACTAACAGTCCACTAACAAAGATTACTTGAACTTTTTGGTAGTAAAAAGTGAACCCTACCAACAATGTTTATTGTACAAGCTGTACACTGTTCACTGTACAAGCTGTACAATGTTTATTGGACAAGCTGCACGCTGTTCACTGTATATGCTGTACAATGTTTATTGTACAGCATATTTATAAATAACAAATCAGTTCAAAGGTTTTAAGATTACGTTGGACAAGACTAATCTGATTATCTGGTTTCTGTCAAAATATCTTTAGTAAATGCATTTCTTGATAGGCACTTCAATTATAAATATTGAACTCTTGCTTCATTATTTAGTTAGTGTAACGTAGACTGTAGTTAAAAGAAGATTTTTGAAGAATTATTTTTCAATCGTGAAAAAAATACAAAATGGTACTTTCAAGTATTCTATAATCAAAAGCGTTTTGGATCAATCAGCAGACATAATCCTACCAACTCTAAACCCTGTGTGCTCACTTTCCCTTCATAGTTCCTGGGATTTTACATCAGTTTAACAAGATTTCTGTTCATTTTTTTACGGTCGATCCAAATAAGTCGTCTGTTGTTTAGGAGAATTGTTAGAGAGCTTAAACAACTCGTCTTTTAGATTTTTTCTGGTTTTCTTAAAACTCTTATTTCTGTAGCTGATACAACTTCCCTAAAAAAAATTAAGGGATAACGAAAAGTAGTTGAACTATGTAGACGAAGTTGAACCACTTTTCTTATGTGTCGGTTCAAGAGATGTGGTTTAAACTAGTCTACTCATTGCTATTTATTAAAGGTCTCTGTTATCAATCTCATCTCTTCAAGTTATCTTAATTAACATTGAAAACCATCTGTATTAAATCGGTCTCAATGTAAATCACTTTCTTTTATACTTATTGTGAAGTTTAATATTGATGAATTATTTGTTATTGGATTCCAAAAGTTTGCTAGTTTCCGATAGAATCATCCTTTAGATATCTTCTTTATATTTATTGGATTCAAACTGCGTCGGTATACAATATAAAATATATGAAATATAATGAACATTTTTTAAAAAAATTATATTAAATTGAATTTCATCTATGACTGTTGGAATAGGATTTGCAATATTTAAAAGAAATGGAGTTTCTCTATTTCAGTAATGAGAGGATCAGAAGATACATGTTTAGTATTAAATTGCATAATTAATTTACTAGAGATAGATACAAGTCCCGAAGGAAAAGTCTGACCAGTTCTAGTTCAACCTCTGCTAAAGCATATGTACACGGAGAATGGAGGTTTATAGAGTACATTGAAACCTAAATAGATGAATCAACGTATCCCATGAGACTGGCAGGATACATACACGCCGACAAACCGGTTTTAAACCTATTTCATTTTCCATTCCTATATCTAGCATTATACAAACACATCCCTAGAATGGTTTAAATAGTATAAACCTTTTCCTAGGGTTTAAACCTATTCCTAACATGGTTTAAATAGTATAAACCTTTTCCTAACATGGTTTAAACCTATTCCTAACATGGTTTAAACCTATTCCTAGTATGAATTAAACCTATTCCTAGCATGGTTTAAACCTATTCCTAGCATAGTTTAAACCTGTGGTTTAAACCTATTCCTAGCATGGTTTAAACCTATTCCAATCATGGTTTAAAACCATCCATGTTTTAACTTATTCCTAACATGGTTTAAACCTATTCCTAGCATGGATTAAACCTATTCCTAATCCTTGCATGGTTTAAAACTATTCCTAGCATGATTTTAACCTATTCCAAACATGGTTTAAAACTATCCCTATACCATAGTTTAAACTTATTCCTAGCATGGTTTAAACCTATTCCCAGTATGAGTTAAACCTTTTCCTAATCCTTGCATGGTTTAAAACTATTCCTGGCATGGTTTAAATCTATTCCAAACATGGTTTAAAACTATCCCTATAGCTTAGTTTAAACTTATTCCTAGCATGGTTTAAACCTATTCCTAGTATGGTTTAAACCTATGTCTAAAATGGTTTAAACCTATGCCTAACATGACTTAAACCTTTTCCAAGCATGGTTTAAAACTATTCCTATAGTAAAGTTTAAACTGTTTCTTAGCATGGTTTAAACATATTCCTAATTCTAGCAGCATGGTTTGAACCTATTCCTAATCATTGCATGGTTTAAAACTATTCCTAATCCTAGCATGGTTTAAAACTATTCCTAATTTTAGCATGGTTTAAAACTATTCCTAATTTTAGCATGGTTTAAAACTATTCCTAATCTTAGCATGGTTTAAACCTATTCCTAATCCTAGCATGGTTTAAAACTATTCCTAATCCTAGCATGGTTTAAAACTATTCCTAATCTTAGCATGGTTTAAAACTATTCCTAATCCTAGCATGGTTTAAACCTGCATCTAGCATGATCTTACAAACCTTAATATTCTCTTGAACGGAATAATACAAGGACTTGCATATTTAACATATATTTTTAAACCCTAACTGTACAAATTCTGCATACAATTATAAAAATGTACCATTGTATTTTAGCGTCTCTCTAATTAGTTTGCATGGTAAGGAAGAAAAAGAACCCTCTTAAAGGTTTTCCCAATCCCAAATGGTTCCCACATCAATATATAAATTAGGATTGTTGGTTTTTGTTTTACTTTTGACCGAATTTGTTTTTAAGTATATTGTTTTATTATTTACTAGCCTTACAGGGCGCTTCGCGCCCATCTTCTAGATTAATTGTGAACATGTTCTCTTTGTGTACATCGTAAAACAAAACTAAAATAATTCGCGAATTTCCACAAAAATTTTCGTGGATTTTCAAAATTTTCAAAAATTTAATGAAGATCGAATTTTGATGGAGACAAATATTTGAAATTTTGATCATTCATAAACCTTCCCTAGGGTCCCTAGATGTCCCACAAAAAATTTGGGCCCGATCGGTTCAGCCGTTTTGACGTTTATTGGACACAAACGAACAGACAGACAAACAAACAAACAAACAGACAGACAAGTCAAATTTATATATAGATTAAATTTGACAAAGTTCATTGCAAGGCGCTTTTTTTGGATAGATTTTGAACAGTAGATTAAATCATTTTGTCCAGAAATATTCAGCTTATTCTTAGTTTTGCGTGTGAGGTCCCGTGAGGACAAAAAAGTAGTAAATTCTTGTTTTAACTTTTATTGTGCAGAACACATATCAATCTTTAATTCAAGATTGTTTGCAAGTGCACAGCTATCATTGTAAATGTTGTGAATAAACGGAATGTTGTTTTCATTTCAACATTTTACTGCATGTATTTAATAATATTTAGCTTGCTTTAAAAACATGTAGTTTGTATTTTTATCACTAAAAGTGCTTTTTCCAAAAACAAATTTTAGATAAATGATAACAGAAGATTTTTTAAGGATACAACTTCTACGACCCAGTGATGTTACACAGAGAGAGATCTTGATCGGAGCTATAGCTGAGATTTTATGGAAGGTAATGGAACGAGAGAGATATAATAGATAAAAGCAATTATATGGAAGGTAATTGAACGAAAGAGATATAGATCAAAGCAATTATATGGAAGGTAATAGAACGAGAGAGATATAGATCAAAGCAATTATATGGAAGGTAATATAACAAGAGAGATATAGATCAAAGCAACTATATGGAAGGTAATAGAACGCGAGAGATATATAATAGATCAAAGCAATTACAAGGAAGGTAATAGAACGAGAGAGATATAATCTAGATCAAAGCAATTATATAGAAGGTAATAGAACGGGAGAGATATAATATATCAAAGCAATTATATGGAAGGTAATAGAACGAGAGAGATATATAATAGATCAAAGCAATTATATGCAAGGTAATAGAACGAGAGATATATAATAGATCAAAGCAATTAAATGGAAGGTAATAGAACGAGAGAGATAAAGATCAAAGCAATTATATGGAAGGTAATAGAACGAGAGAGATATATAATAGATCAAAGCAAATATTTGGAAGGTAATAGAACGAGAGAGATATAATAGATCAAAGCAATTATATGGAAGGTAATAGAACGAGAGACATATAATAGATCAAAGCAATTATATGGAAGGGAATAGAACGGGAGAGATAAAATAGATCAAAGCAATTACACGGAAGGTAATAGAACGAGAGAGATATAATCTAGATCAAAGCAATTATATGGAAGGTAATAGAACGGGAGAGATAAAATAGATCAAAGCAATTATATGGAAGGTAAATAGAACGGGAGAGAGATATAGATCAAAGCAATTATATGGAAGGTAATAGAACGAGAGATACATAATAGATCAAAGCAATTATATTGAAGGTAATAGAACGAGAGAGATATAATCTAGATCTAAGCAATTATATGGAAGGTATAAAACCAGATAGCAAGCCTATTGATTCTTGATACAATCAAATTTATTCGATCTTGTAGACATCACCTTTTTCATTCTTAGTAAATGCAGCAACAAAAATAAAGAAATTCTAAATAACTAATAAACATCATTTAAATTGATTAAAGTTAGAATAATATCTATCTATCTCTAGGTGGGTGGACAAACAAGAGCTGTTCTCGCAATCCCAGATACAGAACTCTCCTTCGAGATTACTCCACGTATAACAGCAGATAAAATCACTGAAAAGGTGAAAGAAGGCAAATATTGCGTGTCTAAATTTAGAAGAATGAAAAGCAGAAAACTACCTGAATATCAATAAAGCTAACCTTGACAACTTAGAGATAGTTATAATTGTCTCATTTCCTCACGATACCAATATTTACATAAATTTTTGTTTGTGTTTTTTCTTTAAATCATCCAATTCCTTCTCCGTCCCTTCATCTAAACTCTATCTAGTCTGAGACCTTCGTTTTACATGATCTTCTCGGACTTATTTAACATTTTCCTTCCCAACCGTTTCTTGTCCTACTATTTCCCGTCTTACCTTTCTCCGCCCTACCTTTCTTCGTCCTGCCTTTCTCCGCCCAGCCTTTCTACCTATTGTACCCCTTGAACTAATCTTTTGGCAATTTTTCCTTTCTAACATTTCTCTTGAATCAAGCTCTCTGCAATTCTCCCTCCTACCTTTCTCCATTCTACCTTTTGACCCAAGCTTATTGCTATTCTCCATCCTACCTTTTTTCAATACTCAGCCATATCTTTCTCCGTTCTACCTGTCTTCCTCTTACCTGTTCCCGTCCTGCCTTTCTTCGTTCTGCCTTTCTCCGCCCTGCCTTTTTCCGTCCTGCCTTTCTCCGTCCTGCCTTTTTCCGTCCTGCCTTTCTCCGTCCTGCCTTTTTCCGTCCTGCCTTTTTCCGTCCTGCCTTTCTCCGTCCTGCCTTTTTCCGTCCTGCCTTTCTCCGTCCTGCTTTTCTCCGTCCTGCCTTTCTCCGCCCTGCCTTTTTCCGTCCTGCCTTTCTCCGTCCTGCCTTTTTCCGTCCTGCCTTTTTCCGTCCTGCCTTTTTCCGTCCTGCCTTTCTTCGTCATGCCTTTCTACTTCCTGCCATTCTCCGTCCTACGTTCCTACATTTTACCTTTCTACATACTTTACCTTTTAAACTATTTTTTTTGCAATTCGACCTTTTCCTTTCCAACATTTCTCCATTCTGGCTTTCTCCGTCATATCTTCCTCTATCCTACCTTTTGAACAAAGTTTCCTGCAAATGTCGGTCCTACCTCTTAAATCAACCTTTCTGCAATTCTCCGTCCTACCTTTCTCTGTTCTACCTTTTGAACCAAGCTTTTTGCTACTCTCCGCTCTACCTCTTGAACCAGGTTTTCTGCAATTCTTGCAGACGAATTGATTTTGTGACGATATTGTTGACTCGGAGAAATTATTAGGATTATTGGAGAGAGAGCTAAGCTCAATAAATAATGTGAAATCTTGCTTAATTAATCAATCTGAGCTGGGAAATTTTGAATGAACGGATAGCAGGAAATTAATAAATTACTCAATTTTCCATTGATGATCTTCGAAATTTTATGCCAATAAAAGATAGGTTTAATTCCCTGGAACAAGATTAAATGAATAGCAAGAACTTGCTAAACCCCACAGATATACAGTCGTCGTCCGGTTTATTATCACAGTGGAGACGACTTTCTTTTTTAATTTTAATTTCTACCAATCTTTCAAAAAACAGAGACACTTAAACGTACATGTAAACAAAGAAAAATTGTCAATTAACAGCTTCTCTTTGTTTACTTGTAAACCTGTAATTTGAAAAATGCTTTATATTACCAAAAAGTCGTCTTTATTGTTTTGATATAATCGCGAAAAACTACAATTTTCTTATGCGCCAGGCTCGTATACAAGATTTTAGCCTGGAGGTGGCAAAAAAATGCGAAGCGCGAAAAAAATGTTGCCCCCCTTGGGAGATTTTTGCCCCCCCCCCCTGGACTTAAAAATGCAGTTATTACATGTCCCCTATGTAACATATTGTAGTCCCGATTCAAGGACTATTAATTATAATGTGTCCCTTTGTATAGTTCCGTATTAATCTGTGAAGTCCTGCACTCTCATTAGTCCACCGTCCTCTTTATTCTCCCTTAACTTTCCCGTCTTTATAAAATCTCCCATTGATCTTCATGGGGAAGACAAGTAAAACAAGTAAAGGGGGGGGAGATTTTAGATAAAAGTGAAATGCTTTGGTAAAATTTTAAAATAAGTAAATTTTCAACAACTTTTTAAATGGGAAAACACTCTTTTGAAGATGGGGGCAAGCTCTTTTTTTACCACAAACCTGGTTTTAACCTTTGCCCACAAATCTGAAGGGGGGGGAAACTACTGCCCCCTCTGTCTACACGCCTGTTTTGCGCCAGTTCAAACTGAAAAGAAGTGGTTTCGCTGTTTAACAATGTTCGCTATTCATTAAAGCTAGTCCCCGTATTGAGAAAATGAGTTTAATTTTTCCCGGCCACTAAAAGTTCCCAGCTCCGATTGTATAAACTGTATCTAATTAATGTTTGTTTCAGTTACGAATATTTAAAGCGAACAAGGAGGAAGAAGCTAAAAATATTGTTAAAAAACATATTTCCTACGTAAGTCGATTAATTATTTTTATCTGCTTTTTTTCAAACAAATCGAGTATTTGATCCATAAGAATTTGTTTGAAATGATCATATTCCGACGTTAATATTTTTAAAAAATCAATATTTTTTAATTGTAAAGAAGTACAGTATCAGATATGTATTTTCATTGTAGAGAAGTACAGTATCAGACATTTATTTTAATTGTAAAGAAGTACAGTATCAGACATTTATTTTCATTGTAAAGAAGTACAGTGTCAGAAATGTATTTTCATTGTAAAGAAGTACAGTATCAGACATTTATTTTAATTGTAAAGAAGTACAGTATCAGACATTTATTTTCATTGTAAAGAAGTACAGTATCAGAAATGTATTTTCATTGTAAAGAAGTACAGTATCAGACATTTTAATTGTAAAGAAGTACAGTATCAGACATGTATTTTCATTGTAAAGAAGTACAATGTTAGGCATTTATTTTAATTGTAAAGAAGTACAGTATCAGACATGTATTTTCATTGTAAAGAAGTACAGTATCAGACATGCATTTTAATTATAAAGACGTACAGTGTCAGACATTTATTTTAATTTTAAAGAAGTACAGTATCAGACATGTATTTTCATTGTAAAGAAGTACAGTATCAAGACATTTTTTTTCATTGTAAAGAAGTACAGTATGAGACATTTATTTTCATTGTAAAGAAGTACAGTATCAGACATTTATTTTCATTGTAAAGAAGTACAGTATCAGACATGTATTTTCATTGTAAAGAAGTACAGTGTCAGACATGTATTTTCATTGTAAAGAAGTACAGTGTCAGACATGTATTTTCATTGTAAAGAAGTACAGTATCAGACATTTTTTTTCATTGTAAAGAAGTACAGTGTCAGACATTTATTTTTATTGTAAAGTACAGTATTAGACATTTATTTTCATTGTAAAGAAGTACAGTGTCAGACATCTATTTTAATTGTAAAGAAGTACAGTATCAGAAATGTATTTTCATTGTAAAGAAGTACAGTATCAGACATTTATTTTCATTGTAAAGAAGTACAATGTTAGGCATTTATTTTCATTGTAAAGAAGTACAGTATCAGACATGTATTTTAATTGTAAAGAAGTACAGTGTCAGACATTAACTTTCATTGGTAGTGGAGATATAAAGATCTATAACTTATTTTGGATTATTTTCTTAGTAAAACAAGAGTCTTTGATCAAACACTTCATGTTTTATCGATAATGATTTTAAAATTATTAACTTTTTAAAAAGTAAATTCTCAGCTTAATAATTTTAAATATCCTAAATTTCACAAGCAAGTTCAAAATGATGAGAGAAATGAGTGTTTGAAACTAACACGTGCCTCAATATCTAATGTTTAAACCATTTTTTATTGCTACCGGATATAAAGATGTAAACCTTCATATTTCAAACTTAGACCATTTTATCAGGTTGCAAACATCGTGTTAAGTACTTTCCCAAAGGCATTTTCCCAAGGGGTGCTTCCCAAATGTACATTTTAAAAAGAAAAGGCCAAGCCTTATGAAGCGCCACAGGCTGCAATTGGGGCCTAACGCTGCAGCTTTTATGGGCTAGGGGCCAGACAGTGCAGCTAGAACAGACTTGGTAAGTTCCGGTTGGTAAATCGAAAATTTGGGAAGTTGCCACTAGCATGGGAATATACCCTTGGTAAGTTGCAGCTTCGCAAACTACCTTCGGGAAAGTACCTATCATCTCAAAGAAACATTAACGAATTTGACTAGTAATGAGCCCTTTAAACCTTAAGTATCTGTTTTATAAAATGTCGTCTTTGTTTAAATTGTTTTATTCAGTTTATGCAGCACGAGGGTGGAGGTCTGATACTTCTACTCTATAGTATTGTTCTTTCCAGAGGAATTGATGAGTATGTTATTTTAAAATTTCAAATTTTTTTCTTCTAAAATATCAAATTTTGAGGTTGAGAAAAGATCTTCAGAGTCATTCTAACGATGCCTTAATCACTCCTGATGATAATGTAAGTAACATTACATAACGTAATATACTAAGTTCACTTTTATTTCACTTTACAAAGTAATTTATTTACTCTGTTATTAGGTTATCTAATCTTATATATTTGCTCTGATATTACATTTTCCTTGGGTTATCTAATCTAATATATTTGCTCTATTATTAGATTCTCCTTGGGTTAACTAATCTAATATATTTTCTCTATTATTGGATTCTTCTTGGATTATCTAATCTAATATATTTGCTCTATTATTAGATTCTTCTTGGATTATCTAATCTAATATATTTGCTCTGATATTACATTTTCCTTGTATTATCTAATCTAATATATTTGCTCTGATATTACATTCTTCTTGGATTATCTGATATATTTGCTCTGATATTAGATTCTTCTTGGATTATCTAATCTGATATATTTGCTCTGATATTACATTTTCCTTGGATTATCTAATCTGATATATTTGCTCTGATATTACATTTTCCTTGTATTATCTAATCTTATATATTTGCTCTGATATACATTCTCCTTGTATTATCTGATCTAATATATTTGCTCTGATATTAGATTCTTCTTGGATTATCTAATCTGATATATTTGCTCTGATATTACATTTTCCTTGGGTTATCTAATCTGATATATTTGCTCTATTAATAGATTCTTCTTGGATTATCTAATCTAATATATTTTCTCTATTATTAGATTCTCCTTGGGTGATCTAATCTAATATATTTTCTCTATTATTAGATTCTCCTTGGGTTAACTAATCTAATATATTTTCTCTATTATTGGATTCTTCTTGGATTATCTAATCTAATATATTTTCTCTATTATTAGATTCTCCTTGGGTGATCTAATCTAATATATTTTCTCTATTATTAGATTCTCCTTGGGTTATCTAATCTAATGCTGACTGGAGTAGGAACTCCCTACCTACACAATGGTATAATGACGGCTGATACAGATGATGCAACTAATATTGAGGTTTGAACTTAGAAAGAAACATTAACCTAAAGATAAAAAAAGGAAAATTCCAAAACTTTTAATGGTGGTCTTTGTGTAAGATCAATCTTTTGAACTACTAAGGTCAATGTCATCATCTTTTTAAAGCAATGGAAAAAGTCCAGAAAAAAGAATTATCATGAAGCACAAAAATATCATAGTTGTTACAAACACTAAAACATAAAATTGATTGTTTGTGAAGAAATATTTGTGCAGGAGAAAAATGGTGAAACTGGGGAAACTGAGGTTAATCGATTAAAAAGAAATTGCATGGTGTGAATACCTCAACTTTGCATTGTTTATTGCTGATAACAAACCTCAAAACTAAAATATTTCAATATTCATTTTGCAAGAAACAGAAATCAACAAAAATTTTATTTCCGGACAAAAAAAAAAGATTTTTGCCGCCGGATTTTTTAAACCGTCAGTAAAAAAATCGCATTGGGTTGGAAACAGAATAATTTAGAAGGCCTAAAAGTTAAGAGAACAATGTTTCCAGAGACATTTAAATGATCTGAGATGGAATTTAAAGAATTTGAGCCGCGGTTTAAATCCGCCAAAACCCGGTTTACATCCAGCGCCGGCTTAAATCGTGAAACATTTGATACAATTTTAAATGGAACCAACCATATTTAAACCGCCGCTCAAATACTTTAAATTCGGCCACTGCTTTCAAATACGAATCTTTTATTTGAATACAAATTGATACACATAAAATGCGAAAAACCGCGAAAGTGCATTAAATTATTACTTATGTCATTTGGAACTGCTTTTGTACCCTATTTGAATCCTGCATGTTGTTTTTATATTATTTGGCGAATCATTCGTTATTGTATATTATGTGTATACACTATACAGGGAAGCTGAATTCACATTGGAATAGAGTTAAGGCTTAAAAATCGTCTTTATTAACGCAGCCTCCATTCGAGAACATTATTGTGATGAAAAGTGGTGACCAGAATACAATGAAATGATTGTCGTCTTCTTTTATTATTTCTTTTTATATAATTTGTAATTTATAATTCAATATTTCTGAAAATGTGCCCAACACATTTTTAGAAAAACAATAATGGCAAATATTATTTTAAATTTTTAAATAATCAAACATAACAAAGATCCTCCAGACTGCTATAAAAAGTTGCAGACATTTTTAAGAATATTTACCCAAGAAATTAGTGTTTGCCACAAACCCAAGATTTCGAACCCCTTTTTCTCTGTAACTTGATAGTGTGTACCTTTTATACTTCAAACTTTGATTATTTAATCTAACAAAATTTATAGTTTGAAATATCAAAGGTCTACGAAATAGGGTTGCAAAGATATAGGGATCAGATTTTCAAAGTTTGTGTCAAATACCCAATTCGCTTGGTTTCCCTTTTCTGGACCTTAAGCTTTAAATCAGATCCACGTGTTCCATGTTTTTTGAGACTTCCTGTATTATTGTTAAGGTTGACAATATTATGTAGATTAGTATTTTAGATAATGATTGATTCATCAATATGTTTCCAACAATGTTTTGTAAATATCACTTGGCGAGAAGTTTACAATGCACACAATTTTTCTGTGTGAAGGATTTTTTTTAGCTCTAATATTTTAATGTTTGGATTTTTGAAACTTTTCATTTTTGTGACTCAACACTTTTTCAAAACAATTTATTTTTAAATTCTTTTCAAAAGCGTTTTGTGTATGCAATAGTTGATGAGGTAATTCAAAATGTTAATTAATTTGAATGTTTTAGTACGGGGACGGAAAGGTTGGTATCTCAGGACGGAATGATATTGGGTTTTTACTCTGGGGTAATGATGAGGAACATACGATGAAATACAACCTAGGTAAATATTCTTAAGGATGTCGTCTTTGTTTAAAAATCTTGGGTTACTCATGTTTTAACATTTTAACAATGTTTGTTTGCATTTTCAAATAATACTTAAAGTTTCGGACATACCTTTATACTGTACACCTACCACATGAGTCCTATCAATGCATGATCATGTAGGCTGGCAGGATCTTGGGCAGGATCCATTTAGGCTATAAGGTTGATTCAAGGGGCTCCTCTTTAGTGTGTAACTTTGAAGAAACTCGTACTAAGGCCTTCTTATAAAGTTAAATCTTAACTAGTATCAGGGTGTTTTTATAAAGTTAATTCTGAACTTGTATCAGGGTCTTTTTATAAAGTTAATTCTGAACTTGTATCAGGTTCTTTTAATAAAGTTAATTCTGAACTTGTATCAGGATCTTTTTATAAAGTAAATTCTGAACTTGTATCAGGTTCTAGACTGAAGACTCCTGTTCTCCCTATCTGGGTAACCTTCTGCTCCGGACAATGGGGAGTTCTTTTCAATCCTAACCGAGATCTCATGAAATCCTACCAAGCAGAGAACAGGTAAACAGATCCTACCAAGTTGAGAACAGGTAAACAGATCCTATCAAGCAGAGAACAGGTAAACAGATCCTACCAAGTTGAGAACTGGTAAACAGATCCTATCAAGCAGAGAACAGGTAAACAGATCCTCACCAAGCAGAGAACAGGTAAACAGATCCTACCAAGTTGAGAACTGGTAAACAGATCCCATCAAGCAGAGAACAGGTAAACAGATCCTCGCCAAGCAGAGAACAGGTAAACAGATCCTACCAAATTGAGAACAGGTAAACAGATCCTATCAAGCAGAGAACAGGTAAACAGATCCTCACCAAGCAGAGAACAGGTAAACAGATCCAACCAAGCAGAGAACAGTTAGACAGATCCTACCAAGTTGAGAACTGGTAAACAGATCCTATCAAGTTGAGAAGAGGTAAACAGATCCTACCAAGTTGAGAACAGGTAAACAGATCCTATCAAGTTGAGAACAGGTAAACAGATCCTACCAAGTTGAGAACAGGTAAACAGATCCTACCAAGTTTAGATCAGATAAACAGATCCTACCAAGCAGAGAACAGGTGAACAGATCCTACCAAGTTGATATCAGGTAAACAGATCCTACCAGGTTAAGATCAGGTAAACAGATCCTACCAGGTTGAGAACAGGTAAACAGATCCTACCAGGTTGAGATCAGGTAAACAGATCCTACCAAACAAAAAACAGGTAAACAGATCTTACCAAGTTGAGATCAGGTAAACAGATCCTACCAGGTTGAGAACAGGTAAACAGATCCTACCAAACAAAAAACAGGTAAACAGATCTTACCAAGTTGAGATCAGGTAAACAGATCCTACCAGGTTGAGAACAGGTAAACAGATCCTACCAAGCAGAGAACAGGTAAACAGATCCTACCAAGTTGATATCAGGTAAACAGATCCTACCAGGTTAAGATCAGGCAAACAGATCCTACCAGGTTGAGAACAGGTAAACAGATCCTACCAAACAGAGAACAGGTAAACAGATCCTACCAAGTTGAGATCAGGTAAACAGATTCTACCAGGTTGAGATCAGGTAAACAGATCCTACCAGGTTGAGAACAGGTAAACAGATCCTACCAAGCAGAAAACAGGTAAACAGATCCTACCAAGTTAAGAACTGGTAAACAGACCCTACCAAGCAGAGAACAGGTAAACAGATCCTACCAAGTTAAGAACAGGTAAACAGATCCTACCAAGTTAAGAACAGGTAAACAGATTCGATCTTTCAAATTGACCAATAAAAGACCAGATATTCGCTAGCAAGGAGATGAGAGCTAGCTTATGTCATTCCAGTCATTTGAAAGTGTCCATCTTCGAATGGCAAGAATATCAAGACTATAGAGAAACAAAATATGAACTGTTAGGAAATAGATCTAAATATGAAGGTTTTTTCTCCAGGTTCCAGTTATACTACTACAGCGATACACCAACCAAGGAGAAGAAAGAAACAGTTTTAACCATTGATACAAGGTAATACAATTTCATCTGTATGATTTTGAAAGGTAACAAAACATGGAAATTAGATGGCATACTATCAATGTGGATCAAAGACGTTTTTTAGTAATTTTCGCCTTTTAGGCTTTAAAGTCTTCTCGAACTACTTTGTAGCCAGGGCAAGCAGTACAGTACAAATACTGACTTTACAAAGCAAAGCGTGACGGTATGCCAAAAAAATGATCCCCTTCTAGTGAAATTTATGTGATACAGACTTGTTTAGAATTGGTTTATTTATGAAATTGTAACTCTATTTCCCAAATAAGACATGTATTTAGATCTACAAAGATTAAGCAGAAGATGATTATAGACTCCGGTGTCGAGGATTTTGATGAGGTTGAGGATGATCCTCTGGAGAAAGCTATTGAGACCAAGTAAACATTTTATAATTATTGAAAACAGTTTTTGAAAATCATCAAAACAAAACTTTGGAAATTTTTTGCCTGTCTTCGAAATCTAATAATTCAACTTTGATTCAAAATAATAATAATTATGCAATCCGCAGTTTTTTCTTATGGTTTGCAAAATTGTTTCTTCAGGTTTATTTTTCTCAAAGTTAAGTGCTTTCAATTCTCCAGGTTTAGTTTTGTCCAGGTTCAGTGTTCTTCAGGTTCAGTTTTCTCCAGGTTTAGTGTACTCCAGGTTTAGTGTTCATTGAGTTCAGTGTACTCCAGGTTAAGTGTTTTCTAGGTTAAGTGTTATCCAGGTTCAGTGTACTCCAGGTTCAGTGTTCTCCAGGTTCAGTGTTCTTTGAGTTAAGTGTAAGGTTAAGTGTTCTCCAGGTTCAGTGTACTCCTTCAATGTCCTCCAGGTTCAGTGTTCTTTGAGTTCAGTGTAAGGTTAAGTGTTCTCCAGGTTCAGTGTTCTTTGAGTTCAGTGTAAGGTTAAGTGTTCTCCAGGTTCAGTGTTCTTTGAGTTCAGTGTAAGGTTAAGTGTTCTCCAGGTTAAGTGTTCTCCAGGTTCAGTGTTCTTTGAGTTCAGTGTAAGGTTAAGTGTTCTCCAGGTTCAGTGTTCTCCGGGTTCAGTTTTCTCAAGGTTAAGTGTTTCCCAGGTTCAGTGTTCTTCAGATTCATTATTCTCAAAATTCAGTGTTCTCCGGATTCAGTTTTCTCCAGTTTCAGTGTTAACCAGGTTCAGTGTTCTCCTGATTCAGTGTTCTCTCGGTTCAGTGTTCTCCAGATTCAGTGCTCTCCAGGTTCAGTGTTCTCCAGGTTCAGTATTCTACAGGTTCAGTGTACTTCAGGTTCAGTGTACTTCAGGTTCAGTGTACTCCAAATTCAATGTCCTCCAGGTTCAGTGTACTTCAGGTTTTGTGTTTCCCAGATTTAGTGTTCTTCAGGTTCATTATTCTCCAAATTTAGTGTTCACTAGATTCAGTGTTCTCAAGGTTCAGTGTTCTCCAGATTCAGTGTTCTCAAGATTCAGTATTCTCCAGGTTCAGTGTTTACCAGGTTCAGTATTTTTCATGTTCAGTGTACTTCAGGTTCAGTGTTTCCCAGGTTTAGTGTTCTTCAGGTTCATTATTCTCCAAATTCTGTGTTTACCAGATTCAGTGTTCTCAAGGTTCAGTGTTCTCCAGATTCAGTGTTCTCCAGATTCGGTGTTCTCAAGATTCAGTATTTTCCAGGTTCAGTGTTTACCAGGTTCAGTGTTCTCAAGATTCAGTATTCTCCAGGTTCAGTGTTTACCAGGTTCAGCGTTCTCCTGGTGCAATGTTCACCTGGTTCAGTGTTCTCCAGGTTTAGTATACTCAAGATTCAGTATTCTCCAGGTTCAGTGTTCTTCAGTGTTCTCCAGATTCAGATAAAATAAATGTAATCCCAGACTACATGGGTTATAAGTATAAAACGTAAACGCTGCTATATTATTGGATGCTTCTCAAACATTTAAACTTCACGTTTTGGCCCTGGTTTTAATAATATTGTATGTTTAGGTGGGAGGGTGCTACAGTTGACTGGGGAGGAATAGCTCCATACGTTTAATAATCTTCAGTTCAATCAAGATGTACTCAGTTAATACGTTCATTCAAAAAGAAATTACTCGCTTCAAACCTTTATTTCCTAACTCTTATATCTCACAAACCTGATGTACAATTAAATCTGTTTGATAGGGCAGTCACAGTTGACCATCAGGTTGCAAAGATATAGGATATAATAGATTATAGTTTGAAGCGGATTATCAGTTCCTTTTCAGAATCTTAGCATACTAGATGTCAGTAGACTAGTGAATTTCATAAATGAAGGATACCTTTTATAATTAAAGACAAATTGAAATTTAATGGTTTTTTATTAATTTTGACACTGATATTCTGAAAAGTTTTCTTCCTTAATTAAACCTAGATCCTGAATACCTCCCAATCTATACACTGGGATTTAAAACGTAGAATATAGAATTTGGTTGAAACCAGTCTAACAGCTTTGAGAGAACATTTTGTGTAATTATCGTTAAAGTATTATCAATGTAATATTGTTAGTTTCGTTTTCATAAACCATTAAATTTAAAATGCACCTTTAGCCTTCATACATTTTCTTTTCCTATGATAGTATCAATTAGAAGAAAAACAATATTAACACTTTTACTTATTTTGACTAGCAATAGGTCTAGTTAAAAAGCAAGTAATTAACAAGTTATGGGTTTGCTTCAACTGTATTTAAACAGACCTATACAAACACTGCGCCTTAATTTAAGCTTTTTAGAATTTTTATGTTAAAAGGCGTGTTATAAGATTTGAAATAATGTAATAGTGGTTTTTTGCATTTATCTGTTGTAGAATCAAATCTGAGTAAAGTATAGTTGCCATATAGTGTCAAATAAAATACATTTTTATCTATGAGTATTTATTCAATCATACTGAGAGAGTTTATGATACAAGATTTGGCAAGACAAATTCACAATATTATACAATACATAACATAAAGGACAAAAATGTCAAGTTATAGTCAAGCAAAAATTTCAGAATTAAATGATTTTTTTTCAGATTTAACTTTAAGTATTAATCGGATATATAAACTTTATTTTCAGTTTACGATCTTATTCTAAATTCAAATTTAAATTTTTAAATAAAAACATTTTGATTCTAAAGGAATTGAATCTTTGTAACAAAATTAAATATTTAAATCCCAATATCTTTAGAACCCGATGTTGTAAACCTTTGATATTTCAAATTCTGATTATTTGATTTAACAGAATTCTAAGTTTGAAATATCTAAGGTCTACAACATTTGGTTCCAAAGATAGAGTGATTAGAAAATCAGAGTTTGTGGCAAAGACTCAATTCCTTTCAACTAAAGTTTGGAAATATGTTTTGTCAAGACACCAGCAACAATCATCCTGAAATAGTTATAAGCATGGAAAAAATAAAAAATTGCCATATTAGAAAAAAGCTATTTACACTAAACTCATTTTCATCAATTCATTCATCATTCATTCACGCATCACAGTTTTATTTTTTTATAGATTCATTAACTAACGCTTGGAAGACAATTATGCTAGGGAAATAATTCCGCAGATCTTTGGCTGGAAAATATATAATTCTAGTGTTTGAATGGAAGACAGTTTTATATTTATCCCTAGAGTTAGGTTTCAAGATATGCTAGCTCACATTATATCTTGTCACACAACTGGTAACATTTGAGATTCATAGTTATTGGAAAACATTGGATTTAATTTAGGTTTTGGGTCTTGTCCTGGTGTTCATTGAACCCTCCTGGCAAACCCGGCATCATACATATACGACAAGGAGTCAGTCCTACTACTATCCAGGGAGCTCAGACTCTTATCTTTACCCTTCTGGTTCTTTCTCCAGATGAGGGCAAACATGATGACAATGATGAGCTGAGCGAGGAGGAACACCACAGCTCCGGTGATCATACTGGTTTTATCCAAGCAGTCTGCGCCCAACAAGTCCTCAGTGATATCGTCCAAAACCTTTTCTCCGAAGAAATTTGAGTTGGAATCTTCTTCAAGTCGTCTAGTTTTCTTCTCCAACTGGTCCTTCTCCTTTCTCTTCCCGTACCTGTCCACGATCTTCAAGGACTGGACGACCAGCATCTCCTCTGGGTTGGCAGCTCTTCGAACTCGTCTTGGCGTATCAAAAAGATCAATTGCTGTGTTGGTTTGTCTCTTCTTTCGGCCGTAGGAGTCGATAGCTTTAGATTGTCCAGTATAATCCAGTACATCACAGACAACAGGTTCACAGGCAGGTAGACAAGGTGTAATCATAGCACGGAACTGAACTACGTCGCTAGTTGGGAATCTAAACGCATCAAACTTACTTGATAAGGTTTTGTTGCTCAGAGGAGATTTTCTTATTTCTCCCATGATTGCTGCGTCCGTTGGGCATCCTCGCTCATCGATCAATAGGAGTTCGGTATCTGTAGCTCCGTCAACAGCGATCAAGTCACGAACAAAGATCTCATAAGGGGATTCAGGGTCTAGGATCTCAAACACCATTGATAGAGGATCTCCGACCACTGCAGTTTTGGTATCCTGTCCGTTCTCATCTGCAACCCTCATCACAACATTAGGAGAGTCTACAACTGACTCCTCGAACAGACTTGGAGATATTTCTCCAGTGATACTCAGATCCACGTCATTGGAAACACTCTTGTTGGTCAGATCATACTCACAAGAGAGCTGGAGACCGAGGTCAGCTGAGGTTACAATACTGTCATGATGCTGGATAATAACCTCGTTGATATAACCTCCTAGGCCCTCTCTAGTCACTCCGCACTCCAGATCCGTATACTTCATCGTGATGCTGAAGTCCATGGAGTCCTTGATGTCCTGCATACAGGTGACGGGGCTCCCCTTGGCGTAGATCTTTCCGTCGAAGAGACTGGTGGTTCGGATATTGGCAGTCATGTCACCAGAGTGGCAGGCGATAGATACATTGTAACAAGCAGAGAGTTGGAAGGTCGTAGCTTCTTCAATATATAGATAGGGTTCCTCAACCTAGAACATATTATATACAGATAACTTTTTCTATATAAGACAGAGTTTCTCATTATATAAAAGGATGAAAAGATGGGATGTAAGATAAATTTTCCCAATCCTGTAATAAAGGATGTAAGATAGGATTCGCCAAGAAATAATTTTATGTTGGAAAGGGTTCCAAACTTGGGAATAGTTTATGTAAGATAGGGTCCCCACCCCTATATATCCCCACCCCCTGCTATAATAATACATATAGTAAACAATATAAAAATAGTTGCAGATTTTTTGCCTGTAACATTATATCTTGTATGTGTATTATTAGCATTAAACTATATCATATCTTATCTTATCTCCACCATCCCCTCACTCCCTTGAATAGGATATACGATAGGGTTCCTAAACCTGGAATAGGATATAAGATAGGGTTCCTAAACCTGGAATATGATGTAAGATAGGGTTCCTAAACCTGGAATAGGATATAAGATAGGGTTCCTAAACCTGGAATAGGATATAAGATAGGGTTCCTAAACCTGGAATATGATGTAAGATAGGGTTCCTAAACCTGGAATATGATGAAAGATAAGGTTCCTAAACCTGGAATAAGATGTAAGATAGGGTTCCTAAACCTGGAATATGATGTGAGATAGGGTTCCTAAATCTGGAATATGATGTAGGATAGGGTTCCTAAACCTGGAATAGGATATAAGATAGGGATCCCAAACCTGGAATAGGATATAAGATAGGGATCCTAAACCTGGAATAGGATGTAAGATAGCGTTACTAAACCTGGAATAGGATATAAGATAGGGATCCTAAACCTGGAATAGGATATAAGATAGGGTTACTAAACCTGGAATAGGATGTAAGATAAGGTTACTAAACCTGGAATAGGATATAAGATAGGGTTACTAAACCTGGAATAGGATGTAAGATAAGGTTACTAAACCTGGAATAGGATATAAGATAGGGTTACTAAACCTGGAATAGGATATAAGATAGGGATTCTAAACCTGGAATAGGATATAAGATAGGGTTATTAAACCTGGAATAGGATGCAAGATAATGTTACTAAACCTGGAATATGATGTAAGATATTTTGTATGAAGAATATCTAGTATGTATATTTACCTGTGTCAGTGTTCCAGCAGAATGATGAGAAAGTCTGCAAACATTATCTCCGGTATCATTGTAATCGTAGCTGTGACATCTGAATGGGGCATTGTTGCAGAGATCTTGACAGTCCTGTTCGGATGCAATTGCTTGATAAACAGCATCAACAGTCTTCAGGATCTTTCCACGCTCCCTACTGTACAGACACAACCTGGAGTAGATTAAGGTTCGGTTAGCTCAACATGTTGGATGTAAGTCTATTACAACCACCAAAAATTTATATTCCTTGTAATATTTTACATTTATTTGTGTACCTGGATGGATCGGATACACAGTTGACCTCCATGTAATGAACTCCTTGAGCATCCTCGAACCCAGGTCGACCGGCCAGTGAGTGTCGATCCATCTGAGCTAGACGGCATTCTCCAGTCCCCTCAGTAAACATGGCAGACCTGAGATAGAGCAATATTACTCCTAATCAAACCTAGCTTAATATAATGCCAAACAACTAAAAAGATATTTATGTTTTTTCTTATTTTAAAAATGCCTCTGTTATGAACGACACGAGAAACAAAAATATTCTTTTTTTAAGCCGTTTCGTAGCCATCTTAGTTTTTTTGCTTGTTTCTTTTGCCTTCCAAAACTTTGCCTGGTATGTTATTAAACATTCACAATGCAATATTGGCGAATTTCTAAAAAAGTTAATTGGATTTGTGTTGAGAATAATTAAATACCAAAAAACTTTAAAGATATTCAATATTCATGTATGTGCTAAGATACTTTCGTCCTCTTATAGATATAGATATAGGCATATTTAGATATGGATATAGATATTAATATAGATATAGATATAGATGTGGATATATATAGATATGGATATAGATATATAGATATAGATATGGATATAGATATAGATATAGATATAGACATATTTAGATATGGATATAGATATTGATATAGATATATAGATATAGATGTGGATATATATATATATGGATATGGATATTTATAAATAGATATGAATATATATATACATAGATATAGATACAGATAAAGATATAGATATAGATATAGATATATATATAGATATAGATATTGATATAGATTTAGATATATACATATATAGATGTAGATATATATATAGATATAGATGAGTGAAATATAGCCTGTTTAATTATCAACTGATATTACGTGACCGTATGAATGATATATCTCTAATCAACACGTGTATAAACTATAAATGTGAATACTTGAATAGTATAATGTACAGGACGAAAGGGGGACCAAAGGTTCATTTTACACGGTATTCAAGCATGAATCCACCCTTCCCCCCCCCCTTCATACATATACCAACCCTTATACCCCCCCCACTAGGTTTTCTCTCCCCTCACATATCATCCCCTTCCTTACGTGGATTTATCGTTACCACCCTTCCCACTATACGTGTTACGCGCGTAACAAACTAGAAAATTATGCTCTTAACATGTAAATAGTGCAGAAACACGCGCGCCGGGCTCAAAGAAGCGCATGGATTATTTTTTAAGAAAATGTAATAGCAAATATCATATATATTCTTTTTAAAGGAAATAACATGGAATTAAGTAGAAAGTAGTAAAGTAGAAAGTATGAAAGTAGAAAATGAGAAAGGAAAAAAATCTGAAAGGAAATTTTTTGTTAGTGAAAATAATTCTCAGGGTTTTTGTTGGGACATTTTGATATAATACAGATATGGAATTTCCGGAACTTCTCCAAATTTTGTGTTTAGTTCATGCCTTCAGGATATACTTTAATCATTCAACCAGTAATTCTATATATAGGCCATTCTGGACTTACTTACAGAAAATACTAGTTTATTATTATTATCATTATTTTTATTATAATTGTTGATATTTTATCTATCTGTATTTAGGTAGTAGGGTGGAGCTTTTTACCAAACCAACCTAATTATCTTAATTTTGCAACAACAAAAAAACTAATAGAAATCCCCCTCATTTTTTCTTTTGCCATTTAACATAATTTGAACAAAAAAAATTCCCCTCCCTCCCACCCCCTCCTCCCAAGACACTGGAAGGAAACAGTTTAACCGTTCCACTTAGGGACCAAGAAAGAACGAACTTTCATTTTCAAATCGTCATTTATAAACAAAATTTTCTTAAGAAATATATAAAGGCAAACCTTACGTTAAAAATACGTTAAAAATACACGAGCTAGGATTATGGAGATAAAGTGGACAACATTAAACCACGGCTTTTTAAGAATTGTGGCTTTAAAGGGAGTGTTAGCGAAAAATTAGGGAATAGGCTTACGCCGAAAAATATGCGCTTTTGATCGTGTCTAATTTTACTTTAATCTGTTGCGTCTATGAGGAGAAAATTGTTAAAATGTCTCATACCGAAGAACGTAGCGTCCATACAAATTCAGAAATTACGAACAATAATCATTGATAATTTTTCGACGCATTCGTATATAGTTGATATTTCATAAAAACATGAAAACATTTGTTCCTGTTTCGAGGATTTATGATAATGAAGACGAAATTTTCATATTTTCCAGGTAAGTTCGAAAATCCAGCGCCAGCGAAATATTATTTAAAAAAACGAAATCCAAAATATTATGAAATATTAACTATATAAGAATGCGTCGAAACAATATTGATGACTACTGTTTGTAATATCTGAATGATTTGTTTGGAATTAAATTGATTTTTTTACGATCCGAGTTGAATGTCACAACTTTTTGAAATTATATGGACGCTACGTTCTTCGGTTTGAGTCTTTTTTCACAAGAAGTAAGATTAGTAGCGATCAAAAGCGCTGATTTTTCGCCGTAATCCTATACCTTCTATAATTTTTCGCGAACACTCTCTTTAACAAAGATTTTTTTTAAAAACGTCCCAACCCAACTCTAAGACTTTCAAGTCCCCACCCACTTTGATTTACGTTGAAAATCCCTGTAAGTTTAGTAAAAGTTGCGACGGTTAACAGTTTAAGAGTGTTGCAAGGAAGAAAGGATGAATACTCCGGGTGGGAACTACAACTGTAAACTAGAAACCCCGAGATAAACTATCCGTGGGAGTTTACTTCCGATATTTCTCTTCCAAACCTATACCTCTATGCTTCTAACACTTCATCATTAGTCTTTTTTTAGATTTTCCAATTGTAATATAAGTATCGTATATAACACACTTAGAACCTAATAATCAAATGAATATGAACATCAGTTGCTAGTATTAATCGCGTCAAATCATCTTTAATTTCTTAAATGTTATTTTCTTTAATCTGAAAGTACAGAGTACGCTGTATAACAAATAATCATTAAATTACGCTAGATCCCGCGGTGTGTTTTAATTATCAATTATCTTCGTTGTCAGGGGTCGTTCTCATCATTTGTTTTCTAGGTGAACTAAAATATAATAAAACAATTTAATTTGACGGAGAAACAAGAAATTAAATTAGGATTGTCATGTTCAGAGTCTTTTACACTTTCTTTTACATTTCTCCGGGGTTTAAAGACAATAGGAACGGAATAATAAGATTAAAGCACGAACCGTTTTATTTAATTTTAGAATTATGATCATTATATAAAGAACTAAGTTTTATTGTACTTTTCTTTGATTTAGTTTTGCAATAGTCCATTTTCACTTTTTGCCAAATCAGATAAGAATTAAATTTTTTTTAACGACTTTTAAATGTACATAATAAGATGATATAACCTAAGAGAAAACAATGAATGAATGAATGAATGAATGAATGAAATCTCCCAGGTATGAACCAAGATAACGAAGAAAGGAAAGTACCCAGGTATGAACAAAGATCAACCAAGATCAAGAAGAAAGGAAAGTATGCAGGTATGAACCGAGATCAAGAAGAAAGGAAAGTATCCAGGTATGAACCAAGATCTAAAAGAAAGGAAAGTATCAAGATCGAGAAGAAAGGAAATTATCCAGGTATGAACCGAGATCAAGAAGAAATGAAAGTATTCAGGCATGAACCAAGATCTAAAAGAAAGGAAAGTATCAAGATCAAGAAGAAAGGAAATTATCCAGGCATGAACCAAGATCAAGAAGAAAGGAAAGTATCCAGGCATGAACCAAGATCAAGAAAAAAGGAAAGTATCAGGACATGAACCAAGATCAAGAAGAAAGGAAAGTATCCAGGCATGAACCAAGATCAAGAAGAAAGGAAAGTATCCAGGTATGAACCAAGATCAAGAAGAAAGGAAAGTATCCAGGCATGAACCAAGATCAAGAAGAAAGGAAAGTATCCAGGTATGAACTAGTAGCTTTGATCCCTGCGGCTTTTCCCAGGGTATGGATTTGTGAGAGAAGAAAGGAATCCATGAGTTTTACAGGACTAGAAAATAGTAAATAGAACCTTCGAGATGCATGTAATGGGAAGAAAGAATGTGGATATGGTCATATTAAGGATGTATACATGATCTAGGATGAGAAGAGAAGGATTAAGGATTATGATAAATCCGGCGCTGCGAAAGTTGCAAAATAGAACTTAGCCAATGCAGTTTAAGTTTACAGCTTATAAACTAACTGCACTCTGTTATTTTGAATGAAAACTGGGAATACAGTGAAAGCTCAGGAAATAAGAAAGAAAGCTAAAAATAATATTTAACAATGGATATTCAAGAAGTAGAACCAAACCGTGACAATCATCAACCATCAAAACATTTTAATCTTAATTAGGTTCAAGCATATTTTATACAAACTTTACAATTCATATTTATGAAAGTTATAATTCATGCCAAAATACTTTTTTGCTGATCTTATAAAAAAGTGCACCTGTAAACAAAAAGTTAAATCCTTCTCGGGGGGGGGGGCGGAGGAAGGGTTTACTCCAAATTATGATTTAAGTAATAAATCCGTTGGGATACAAACTTTTATTCCAGACAGAAGTATATTAATATTTTCTTACAGAGTCCTGTAATTTCCCATTTTTTCATTAAAATACAAAGTGCACAATTTGCAAGAACTGCTGGTGCAAGCTGCAATAACTAATCACAAATGCAGATAAATATTTTATAACAACATTTTATTAGCCTAAACTTTCTTTGTGGTTAAAAAAACTATTTTAAAATGAATTTACTGTTTTTTTCTTTAAATGACTTGAATCCCATGATTATTGAGCAATTGTGAAGAGGTAAAAAAAAACATTTTAAACATTTGTGGATACGTGATAAAAATACAAAAGATCAAAGTTAAGATGAATTCTAAAGAAAACCAACTGTTGGATTAATCAGATTTTTTTCGACTTTTTGAAGATTTCAAGAATTAAATGTTAAATTTATTTGAGAATTTTCTGTATACGTATAAAGAAAATGTACAGGAAAAAAGCATCAGTACAGTGGAACCCATAGGAAGACGACTCAAATTATGATTTTAAACAATTTTGAAACACGGTGTTGGGCGTGCAAAGAAACATTTAACCAAAAGAACAACTATAAATGGTTTAAATAATAGAATAAATTAAAATAGAATAGTAAATTGGGTTGAGAGAAGGGAAGGAACAATAAAGGGAGGACAGGAAACCTAGGAAAATGATGAATATATATATATATAAAGAGAAGAGAGAAAGGTTCAAATACATTTATACAATATATCTTAACGAGTTTATGGAAAAGGGAGGGAGTAAAAAAACAAAAAGAGGAAAAAGCTATTTATACATACTGGGGTGTGTCATGGAGGGGGGTGGCCTGAAAGGGGGAGGTTTCAGATTGAATTGAAGAAATGAATAAAAAAGAAATGCTCCGAATAAAATCACTTCCCTTCACTCTCTACTCCCACTTCATCCCTTCCTATAACGGTACCCCCTTCCCCTCCCCAATCAATTCCTTCCCCCCAAATGCAATGCTCTTCACTGCCGATTCAATTTTATTTATTTTATTTTGTTTTTATATTTTATATTTCATGTATGAAAACTGAAGAAAGTTTGAAATATTTCTAAGAATCACGTGACGTCATGTCTCGTCATAAAACTGTAGTTTCACTTTCTAATCTGATAATAAGATAATTATATTATACAATTCTTACTTACCGCGCTCTATTGAATTATTTAATTGATTCTGAACGAAATCAATATTTAATTAAAATTCCAAGCTTATTGTTTAATATTCAAAGTTTAGTTTTTGTTCCCAAACTTTATCTTTTCCTTATTCTTACCAAGCTATATTTCCTTTCTTGACAGGCAATCCGTGTCATGAATAAATCGGAAAAAGTTAAAAATTACTTTTTTTCAGACTAATTAGTTTCTTCATTAATCATTGATTGATTGTTTGTATAATAAAAATTATCCTAAACAAAAAAATACTTTCTTTTCCATCTTTTTATAAATAAGTAATTGCAACAAATTTTAAATCTGAATATGTTTCAGAATCATTATTCTAGTAAAATTTTGTTGTCACGCAACTATACTATACTGGTTCAATAAACCAACCGGAACTATGTTGCACTTTTACCAACAACAACTGTAATAGATATCAACTTTTTTTTGATAAAAAAGAAATTTTGCAAATAAAAATTTGTAGAAGTGAAAAGCTCTTTTTTTATTATATTTAATAGTTTTTATAATTTCTCGATGTACTTTATTTGTTATTTACATGTAGTATACTATAGTTGATTCTTGGAATTTAAAAATATTACATATTTCATTATATTTTAAATGAAAATATATATATTTGAAACAAAAAATATACATTTCTTGCCAATCTAAGCGTGTAAAATAGAACGAGTTGTATTGTCTTGATAATTGAAAAATATTTATAATTCTGACCTGCACTCAAAATCTGTATTAGACAAACATAACTCCATACATTCTTGTCTGTTTGCAACCTGACCACTCTTACCAATCTAGACAATAATATAAAAATTAATAAAGTTTAAAAAATTATTTTCAAAGGCGCAAACAAAAGTTTTTCAACGGGAGGATCCAAGGAGATATTGAAAGTTTTGAAGTAATTTTCAAATTAATTATAAAATGAACTTTTAATATTTTTCCTAGAATGTTAAATGTTTTAAAAGTTCTTAGTTTTTTATTGTAAATCCAACCATTGGTTCATGTTTATTGGGAAATCCAATCATTGGATAATGTCTATTAGAAATCCAACCATTGGATTATATTAATTGAAAATCCAACCATTGGATCATGTTTATTGGGAAATCCAATCATTAATTCATGTTAATTGGTAATCCAACCATTGGATCATGTTTTTAAAGAAATCCAAACATTGGATCATGTTTATGGGAAATCCAACTATTGGATCATGTTTATTGTTAATCCAACCATTGGATCATGTTTTTAAAGAAATCCCACCATTGGATCAATTTCATTGGTAATCCAGTTATTGGATCATGTTTATGGGAAATCCAACCATTGGATCATGCTTATGGTTAATCCAACCATTGGATCATGTTTAAGGAAAATCCAACTATTGAATCATGTTAATTAGAAATCCAGTCATTGGATCATTTTTTTAAAGAAATCCAACCATTGGATCATGTTTATTGGAAATCCAAACATTCGATCAAGTTTATTGTTAATCCAACCATTGGATCACGTTTTAAAGAAATCCCACCATTGGATTAATTTAATTGGTAATCCAGTTATTGGATCATGTTTTTAAAGAAATCTAACCATTGGATCATGTTTATTGGAAATCCAATCATTGTATCATGTCTATTAGAAATCCAACCATTGGATCATGTTTTGGATATCCAATCATTGTATCATGTCTATTAGAAATCCAACCATTGGATCATGCTAATTGGAAATTCAATCATTGTATCGTGTTTATTGGAAATCCAACCATGGGATCATGTTTATTGGAAACCTAACCAATGAATCCCATTATTGGAAATTCAACCATTGAATCCTATAACTTGAAATCCAACAATTAGATCATATTTATTTATTGATCTAGACACTGGGCAGTCAGAAACAACCCCTGAGGATAAATCCAGACCAAGAGTAAATTATTTCTTCTGCACAGTGCACACACTCTAGTTGTAAACAATATGAATATGATACTGCTCGGAGCCAAGTTCTCAAACCAACATGAATTAGCGGATTTGCAAAAATATGTATTTTTACATATTGTGTCAATTAAAGAAACAGATTGTTTAGAATAACTCCAGGGGAAATCTCACCAGAAATATAAAGTTTGAAATGAATTGTTATGAAATCCGGTAAATATGAATAAGTCTTATTAAATCATATATGTTCATGATTTATGTATAAAGGGAGTGATCGCGAAAAGTTAAAAAGGGGTATAAGTTCAAACATTTTCAATTCATGAATTGATTGCTACTATTCTTATTTCTATCCAATTTTTAGGATAAGCGGGGGATAGTTTGTTGGTTAAAAGTCCACAAAGGAATCCCTATATCTTTGCGACATGATGGTGTAAACCTTTGATATTTCTAAATTAATTTATTTGATCTAACAGAATTCATAGTTTGAAATATCTAAGGTCAACGACACTGGATTGCAAAGATTTAGGAAATAAAAAATCAGAGTTTTTGGCAGAATCTCGATTTCTTTCGACAAAAAGAGACCCGTTTTGAAGTATGCCAAATGTTCCACGATGATTTATATTTATACTTTTCAATTATTTTTGGCGAAGACTATCTTTAAAATACGTTATATTTTTAAGATCAAAAAAATGTGTTACCGGAGTATCCAGCTGATGATTCATCACCCTCTCGAAGCTCCAGGCCGCGTCACAGAGATCAGCTGACGGTAAGCAATTCTTCTGAACGTATATAGTGAAGACGGGGAACTGGGACGGAGTCAGCTGACCAGCATTTTCTTCAGCTGACGAGGAGAAGAGTACACATAGCCCGGTCTCGTAGTTGATGGATTTACAGGTAGTGTTTGCCCGGCAGGTTTCAATACAATCAGTCAACATGAGAGTTCCAGGCTGGGAATCCAACATGTCGGAGGGAGCTGTGTACACGTAACCTAAACCAGGATAATTACAGATTTTTGCATTAACGGACTTTCTTTTTGACATTTGTTTTTTCAAACGTGGATCTAACATTTACTTTATTTACTCTATGAGGTTTGAATTATCATCAACACCAATAATCCATATATTTTTGCAACCGGGTACCGCAGACCTTTGATTTTTCAAATCAAGAATTCTGCTATATCATACAATTAAAAACTTGAATACCATTAGGTTAAAGAGACATGGGATTATAAAAATTAGAATTTTCCCTTTTAATTGCATAGTTATTGTATTTCAAAAAAAGATTATTTTACTTTATATTTATCAATTTGATTTTGTTAGTAGTTTACCTGTGATGAGTTCGAATGATACTTGATCATCTGCACATCCTTCATCTCCGTACCCTGATCCTTGACCAGATATCCCGGCTATCAAGCTCAAACCAACACTCAGAGCTAAAACCAACCTCATTCTCAAACCTTAACCTAAACACGGATATAATTAGTTTATTGTTCTCGAAGTGAAGAAGGTGTGAAACCATCCTATGGCTTTATCTTAATTTAATTTACCGCAATCATTTTCATTTACAAGCTAACGGTTTGTCTTACATTCCTTGATATGGCACAGAGATGGAAGGAAAAAATCATAAACTTTTTTTTTGAAAATTAATACATTAAAAATGTTTGTCTTGCATGGACTAAAAAAATTGAAGAGTCCAATTTTTTGAAAATGTGAGAAATAGTTTTTCAGATCTAAATTTGGTTTTTTATTAAATTAAATTTTTAGAGTGTAAATGTTTTTTTTCTAACGATTGCATTTTAAAGTTTGAACAATGTGAGAAGAATGGAGGAGAGTTTTCTACAGTTGTTTAACCATGACAGTTTCTGACATATTTCTAGAGAATATGATCGATCTAATTTCTAGACAATACATTTCAACAGATTATTAGACTGTATACCGGGGTAAAACAAACAAGTTTAAACCTTTCCTTTGTTTTCCTTTGAATTAGTTTCATTTACACGCGTTTCAGAACAAAAACTGTTTTAGCGTTTTTTTTCAGCGTAACTTGATATCATGCATATTGCATAGTATAAACTTTAGAATTAAAAAATTAAGATTTAAGTTAACTCCTTAAAATGCGGGAAATCCACCAACAGATTATAAAGAAATGGTCCTTGTGTGCTACGACTTAAATTTAACCGACTTCAGAGACATTACATTACTGAACGGTATGCGTTCTGAACAGTTTAAAGATACAAAAGTGTTGATCTGAAAAGTGTTGATCTGAAAAGTTTTGATCTCAAAAGTGTTGATCTGAAAATTGTTGATCTGAAAAGTGTTGATCTGAAAAGTGTTGATCTGAAAAGGATTGAAATATAAGAATGAATATTTTTGTTCTCCTAAGACTGGATTGCCTCTCACAATTCATATTTTGATTTTTATGATTTCGTAAATTGGAATATAAAGCAAATCCTTTACGAGCCTCATAATTGGCCTTGTCAGCTTTAACTTTGTTTAATAGGTCGTTAAATGGATAATTCAGTAGCTTCTAACCCAGGCCCTGCTTCTCGGAACTAGGCACAGGAAAATATAATTTTCTAACTAAGGTTGTTTAAATTAATCTAGTTAAAGAGAATAAGATACCATCTGCGCAGAGGCTCGTTAATTATTTAAGATTAATATTTGAGGAAGAGAGTAGAAAGCATGAAGTGAGAGGGTAGAGGTTGTTTGTTAAACATTTCACGCTGCAGGGAATTCAATTCTGGTTAATAACAATTATACTGGTTTATTAATATTAATTATTGTTGGTTTCCACGACCTGTTGGTTCGGTTAACACGGTTTCCATCTGTCTTTCCTGTTTCGCACATTCCTTACAACTTGATTCCTCTCAGGGAATATAGAAATAAATATATACTACTACACCACAAACACTAGTTTCAGCTGAGAGTTTGGAAAACCACGTGGAGACCGTTCGAGTTTGGGAGTTTACGATACTGTTTTCTTCACTCGTTAAAGTTTCATTCAACAGAGATTACGTTGCTCTGGCCAGAAACTTAGCAAGGATGAATCTCATGTAAAAAAAGGTTTTTGCATCAAAGGAAACTCACATGTGGGAATTGTACTTTCTGACTGAATAGAGATGTAAGGACTAACATACTTTAAGTAAGAGGGAGGAGGGGGGGGGGATAAGGACAAGTACACTACATGTCAGGACAGGATAAGGACGGAAAATTATGACATGTCATGACTCGCTTTATTCTCAGGAATAAATCTATTTATCCTAACCTCACGTTTTCCATATTTGCATTGTTTCAAATTATATTTTTACCACATCCGCCATTATTTGCCATGTCAGTATATACGAATCATTAAAGAGAAATTATGTGAGAATTTAAAACATGGTTTCATTTTCACAAGACAATGCAGGATTTCAAAAAATGAAAAGTGATAATGTATATCGGGAATCTGAGTACAACCTGAAGACGAAGCTTTTGAAACTAAAATCCGACTAAACCTTGGATTCCTTGGCGTAGCCGGATATCCAACAGATAAATTTCGCCCTCTGGTTGCCGGTGAAGGGTTTACAGTTAAAGCCCAGCTGTTTCATGAGAACTAAATGTTAAACCGAAACAATTAGATTTCAGACTTTCAGAAATTTTAAATTTCTTAAATTCTTCAACATTCCATCTTAAACATACTGAAAGTTTAATTTCAAGTAACTATCTATGCAAAGATAGCAATGTCCGATTCACAACGGTACCATTGCAACCTTTATTTGATCAATAATGTCGAAGATATTTTCCCTTTTCTAGGGTTAAAAATGTTTAATAATGATAATTCTTGTATGTTTTCCTGCAGTAGAAATCCGCAAGTCACTTTAGTAGAGAAACCACAATAATCAGTTTTCAAGATTATAAACATTGCTATCTAAATCATACTATATCAGACAAAGCTTTTAATGGTACCGTTGTGTATCGGACATTGCCACCTTGGAATGGAAGTTCAATTCAAATAACTGTTAAAGTCCTTTTAATTAAAATACAAATGTAAAAACCATGAAAAAGGAAATTTTGGGCGGAAAGTTTATTCTTTTTATTGTATTTTAGACATCAAAGAACTCTCAATAAAGGTCTAATTGATAAATGATCCTAAACTAAGTTTAAAATGACAGATGAAGGTATCTTTACAACATTGTGATAATTGGAGAAAAGTGAAAATAAAGATGTAAAAAGTTTGGACCTGGAGATCTGAGAATGTTAAAGTTCTCTGACATATGTTGGCCATGATGGCATTGTCGTATTAAACTCTAAAGAAAGACTAATGGATATAATTTCATTTTCTAATTCTTCGCTTTAAGAAAAGAATAAAAGAGAGAAATTGTGATTTATTAATAGTGCACTAGATCTAGGAGTTATCCATTCAGGGAAGGCAAAAAATCATTTTTGAAGATGGGGGGGGGGGGTTAGCTAAAAAACGAATATAGGAGTTGATTCTTTGCCACAAACTCTGATTTTCTAATCCTTATATTTTTGAAACCCAATAACGTAAACCTTTGATATTTCAAACTTATGTTATTTGATCTAACAGAATTCATAGTTTGAAATATATCAAAGGTCTACGACATTGGATTCCAAAGATATTGGGATTAGAAAATCAGAGTTTGTGGCAAAGACTCAATTCCTTTAAGGTTTAGAAATAGTAGATGTATAATGTATATAAAGATACACATCCAGCCGCAAAATTGAAAACAGGAAATTGTGCTGTAAAAATAACTTTAAAGTTGGTTCTTGACAAAACCAAAATTATTCTCAAGCTCTTTAAATACAACTCGCACATAGAACTAAGATTTATCTAAACAATGATTGTCATGAAAAAAGTTATTTCAGGAATATGACGTCAGACACGTTTGCTTAAACAATGAGAAAATAAAATAATTACACAATGAGACAATTATGAAAAGAAAAACCAAAATGAGTCTCGTGTAACCGTAAATAAATGAAATCTTTAATGGCCTAGATTGCTGAACCTTGGATAATTAAGTCCAAAATTAACTGTTTTCCTTTAATCCACCTTCAGGCACTTTAAGAATATGCGCCACACGTTTAAAACATATGGTGTCTCAACTACAATATGGAACAAAATAACAACAAGCTGGGGGGTTGTTCTCCAGGTGATAGAAGGGGGAGGGTGTGGTAAAGAAGGGGGGGGGGGGGGAAATGAGTGTAAACTGAGGGGGTTTCAGATTAATTTATATAAAAGAAGATTATTATTACCAAACAAACAAAAAGAATAATTTATCATGAATTTGTCTAAATTGTAATGTTCAGTGAAGGGAGGGACGGAGGGAGGAAGAGAGAGGAGAAATATATAAATTTATAAAGAAGAGAGAGTTCCATGATTTATACAGAAGTGCATGACTGATCAGTGTCCTGTGTTTACAACAGATAATTATGCGTTATTGCGGGATTACTTTGCATTATTTAGGAATAAAATACTTTCAACTTTTAAGACGGGAGGACTGGGGAACCATTAGGACTAGGAGAACTAGGAGAACTTGGAGACCATTAGGACTAGGAGAACTAGGAGAGCTGGGGGACCATTAGGACTATGAGAACTAGGAGAGCTGGGGAACCATTAGGACTAGGAGAACTAAGAGAGCTGGAGGACCATTAGGACTAGGAGAACTAAGAGAGCTGGAGGACCATTAGGACTAGGGGAACTAGGAGAGCTGGGGGACCTTAGGACTAGGAGAACTAGGAGAGCTGGGGGACCATTAGGACTAGGAGAACTAGGAGAGCTGGGGGACCATTAGGACTAGGAAAACTAGGAGAACTGGGGGACCATTAGGACTAGGAGAACTCGGAGGACTGGGAGACTATTAGGACTAGGAGAACTGGGAGTCCATTAGGAATAGGAGGACTGGGGGACCATTAGGACCAGGAGAACAAGGTGTAATAGAGGGACTAGTAGGACTAGAAGAACTAGTTTGAAAAGAGGGACCATTAGGACTAGAGGGAATATGAGGACAGGGAGACTATTAGCAGGACTAGGAGAACTGGGAGTCCCTTAGAACTAGGAGGACTGGGGGACAATTAGGACCAGGAGAACAAGGTGGAATAGAGGGACTAGTAGGAATAGGAGGACTAGAGGGACCATTAGGACTAGAAGAACTAGTTTGAAAAGAGGGACCATTAGCACTAGAGGGAATATGAGGACGGGGAGACTATTAGGAGGACGGATAAGATGAACACGGAGGACTGGAGGACTAGATCGAGGAACTATAAGGACTAAAGGGACTAGAAGGGTTAGAGGGGCTTTGGGGCCAGAAGTAATGGAGGGAATATCAGGAAAAAGATTCAAATCTGATGAAGAGATAAACTAGGGAAACCCGGAAATGACATTGAAACAAGATAAACCATGATCACAAGAAACCAAGAAACCAAAGATTTCTTCACAATAAGACAAATAACTCAAGGGATTCAG